GAAGAGCAGACTGATAGATCGATGCAAGAGAGAGGTTGAGTACGAGGATCAAAATGGGTGGGAGTTTCCCCTATTTAAAACATGGAGGGGGTGAGAGGCGAGAAAAGCCTCCAACTGGATGCCACGTGAGTCACAATGAGACCCCCCCCAGAGGAAATGGGGGCATTAAAATCACCAAGTAACAGAAGTGGTGGTGGTAAGGATGAAACAAGAAAGGCAAAGTCTGGGATAGAAAAAAGGCCCGAGAAGGAGAGAGATATTAAAGAACATATTGTAAACCATTATTCAAGTAGATATGGGCTGCAGTGTAAGCGCGAGGTATGGACAAATAGTTGACCGTACGGAATATCATTGCGTAGAAGAAGGGCACTTTCATTAAAGGTCCCATCTGAGAAAGGATCCCAGAATACAATAAATAAATTATAGCCTGAGATAGGTTGGAAAAAAGCTGAGTGTAATTTTGGTTTTTTGTAAGCAAGCACCAACAGGGGAAAACCTGGAAAGCAACATCTGAAGCTCACCCCGATTACCCTGAGGGGCGGATATTCACTGTAAATAGGCCATGATTGGCGATTAAAAAAATACCAGGGAAATTTTAGGTAAAAGGCACCTATGGACTAGAGGGGTTAGAAAAGTCAACGTTTTGGTGGCATTGGAAGCGTTCAAGTAGCGAAGGAACGGGAGCGTTGCGAAGAATGGGGTTGTGAAGATGGAGGAGAGGGAAAAGAAGGAACAGGAAGTGAATCAGTGTCCATTGAAAGGGTTTTGTCTCTGCAATTTTATTCTGAAATGGCTTCAAAATGTTTCTGAATTCAAAGATGTATGGGAGACCACATTGGAGATAGAAGGAGGGGGGTGAGTTAAGATTGGGACAATAATGGACTGTACCCAAAATAGAGGGGGGAGGGAAGAGTGTAAAGGGGCTGGAGATGAAGTGTGGGGGGGGGACGGAGAGGCAGAAACCCGGGAGGTGGGAGAAGAGGGAGAAACTTGGGAGGGGACGGGGGTGGAAGGCAAAAGTCCCAGGAGGAGGGTGAATTCTCCACATTGTAATAGAGCCAGAGAGAGGGGAAGAACTAGGTACAGAGACTGGGAAAGGTAAAGTGTGGAGGTGGAAGAAGGAAGGAAAAAGGCAAAGAAGATTTGGCAATGTGGATTTTTTGGACTTCTGAGTAGAGGGCGTTGGTATTTGGTGTCGTACGAGGTCTTGTCGATACTGGGGCTTGTGAGGAAGGACGCGAAGATGTGAGAAAAAGGACTGAGTTGTAGTCGGGACTTTAGAGCAAGGACAGCAAAAGGATTAGATGCCGTAGTGGCTATGGGAGGGGTAACAAACAGAGGAGGCTGCAGAAGATGGGACCCCAGAAGTGGGGGGATGTTGGAAACACGAGAATAAGAAACCCGGGGTAGTCTCCCTTGGAGGCGGAGATGAGTAACTGCCATAGCATAAGGGAGACTGCCTCTTTGAGGGAAAAGGATTTCACGTTCATTTAAGTAGACCTGACAACGGCGGGGTACGAAGGGTGAGCTTCATTACAATTAAGGCAAGTGGAGGTTGACTGCAAGATGTATTAGAATGGTCGTCGGCCCAAAGACTGGGCATTCGGCCATAGATCTGCAATATTTCGCTGGGTGACAAAACGCCAGCAATTTCTACATTGTTGCGGGTAGGTATCACCTTTCGAACTTGTAACCGATTGTCCCGCGACATATACAGAGGACGGGAGTTCTCGGCTGTCAAATAGTTAAACGAGCCCCATTGCAAGGGTAACGTCTCCGCCCCCCGGGCAGGAAGGACAAAAAGTGTCTACTTTGGGATTGGGAGATCCTGGAGTTCCAGTGTTCAAAAAAGTCATTGCCACATGACTGGAAATTCTGTTGGGGCTATGGTATGGGGCCCGAATGACAGTACCACTACAAGAATTGGGGAGAAAGATGTTTTTCAATAGTGATAGGAGTGTATCGATATTCGAAAGGAGAGAAGAATCATGAGCTTGGGTAGCATTCTGGACAGTGACGATGCACATTTCCGCTCTTGGAGCATGAAATGAAATTCTCTACCAACATGACGCAGGAAACACTTTGCCAATACTATGGTCAGAAAGGTAGGCAGAAGAAGGGAAATCGGTCTTAAAGTAAGAATTTAGTCCATTGTGTGGTACGAACTGAGCGTGGAGGAGGAGTGTTGACGTGTCGGTCTTTTCCGAGTAGAATGGGAAGGTAACGAGGAGCATCATCAGGAGATTGACGTTGGCGTTTAGGAGTAGGACCGGAGTTGGTCCGGCGTGAAATGGCGGGGCGATTCGAAAAATTTCCGTACCATAGAGGGAGAAGCCGGAAGCATAGTCAAAGGAGAGCGGAGTTCAGACAAATTGAAGGAGTCAGTCGAAGCCCCGGTACCTGAAGGGGTGAGGAAACAGCACCAGCAAGAGGTCAGGGGCATCAGGAATGTCCCAAGAGTGGTTCTAAAACACAAGGCAGGGGTCAGAATGGGGTGCGGTATCAAGAAGGGGCCCGGGGGGTGTGGGTTCATGGACTAGGGCTGCCATGGTTAGGTTACTCCTTTTTCTTTTGTTTTTAAAAAAAAAAAAGAAAGAAGAAAAGAAAATAAAAATAAAAAAAAGAATAAAAAAAGGGGGGGGGCGGGGGAGGAATAGTTCCCAGGAGGAATGAAAGGGCCGGAAATCTCCCTCCGCGCCAAGAGGACCTCAGCACGTAGTAGCGCAGATGCAGCATGGAACTCGTGCCATACCCTACCCTTTTATGCCAGTTTAAAACCCGCAATCCGGGATAGCAACCTCACATTGCGAGCTACCTCGGTGGACAAAAGAGAGGGCGGCCGGATATCCGCCACAAAGGCATACCTCCTTCGGCCACCACCCCGGAATCCAAAGGTGGCATCCAGAGATACACCGTTCGCCCGAAAGACACCCAAAGCTATCCGGGATACCGGAGAGGGACGGGACATCCCCAGGCATCCAGATTCCACGGCAAACTACGCCACGCCAAAGCACCTCAACGGAATGGGATGGACCCCGGTGTCCTTTCCCCTACCTAGGAACTAGCGCGCCTGTGGGAGAAATCCCAAAGGCCAAAAAGAGGAAGGGCAAAAGGGAGGGGTGGGGAGGAGGAGGAATGGAAAAAGGGGAGGATAGGGAGGATGGGATAGGGGAGGGGAGAATGGGGGGTAATTAGGTTCGGTCTGAGGAAGAAGACCGACAGGGCTAATTCCTCAGACCAAGAGCCTCTTCACCACGCCAAGGAGCCCCCCTTGAAGAGGAATGTACAACAGAAAATCACATAACATTCATTGTTACTCAACAAAAATCTGCACATAGAATGATTGCTCAGGTTCCAGACAACACACATCCTTACTATTCAAGTCTAAATTTACCTAACATACTAAACATCCAAATCTACTATTGTGCATACTACATATATGGGACACTCAGAACAAATGTTAACCACTCTCTTCTTGGAGAGCTGCTTTAGAATGCATAAACATGGTACAAGAAACAATCATTTCTTTTACATACTGTACCATATGTTAGACTTCTGCTTAAAATTCCTTACAAATAAAAGGCCCCAAAACACAGAACCCTCTACCTGAAGGTGCGAAAGTTTTTCATACCTTTCGTAATAGATGGTGTTGCTTGTTGATCTGGAAATGTGCGGGAGGGTTCATGTGGCTCTATTAACTCTAGACAGATGTAGAGAGTTTCAAACACCAATAAAATGCAGTAGTACAAGTATGCTAAAAATGTTATATAACTAAATTGTTCTTACCTTACATTTTGGTTTGCTGGTGCTTTTTGATCTGGAAAATGCTTGGAGAATGTTGCTGTGGCCCTCCTAGGCAGAGGTGGGTGCCTGTCGTTCTTGTGTCGATGTGGATGGCAGAGCTGATAAAGGGTTCCCGGGAAGCGGTTAATGGTTACACTGGCGTAATCAAATATTCTGTAATGCATTTCTGCTGTTTCACTCTGCAGTATTTTTTCCCTTTTATCATGAGGACATTAAATGGGGATCCTATCCTTGTTTTCTGCTCAATCCACATATTTGGTAACTCTCCTCTTATTCTTGCAACGCTGTATGACCCTAGTAGGTTTAGCACTTCTTTTCATCCATGACAATTATAATGAAAACCCCAGCCAAAATGATCTAGGTTGCCATATGTATACAATCCTTCATCATGGAAAATATGACTGCCACTTTTACAATTAAAAAAAAAAAAAAAAAAAAAAAAAAAAAAAAAAAAACTTTGCCTCTACTGGTACTGAATAAATAATAATACACTCAGATTTTTTTCATACTGGCAACAGAAGTAATAATAATATTTTTTTTCTAAAATACATTTGTTAAAAAGATTGGTTTACATTATTTTTCTTACATGGAAAAGCCCATTTAACTGGTTTCCCTGAATCCCTTCATAAAAGCTACCATGCTCATATTCCAACAGAAAGTCAGTACACGTAAACCACCTGCCTCAACTCGCTCCTATCCAGTGTGTTTACACAAACCTGTTAGATGTTGAAGCCCTTAGTGCTTAATCTCCTGTACCCCCTTCATTCAATTTTTCCTGGAATGACCCCTAACCATCCTTCCCTTCATGCCAGATTTATATATCCTCCTAGTAATCCTATTTTGCTCAATCCTGTAGTTGTAATAGTTGAATGGGCAGTTTCTTGTACTCAATCATAGCATGGAAGGCATACTAGTGAAATAGCTAAAAATTTAGTTGAATGGAGCAATTGGCTTAAAATAGGACTCAAAGTGAGTGAAATTACCAATTCGTAAATTGCGCCGAGACCCTTAACTTTGTGCCTGCGTAATTCAGCAAGTTTTCCATCAAATTTCGTACTTTTGGTGTCAATACCTTCAAATGAAGATTCTTTACCATTTCTAAGGATTTTTTTTTTGAAGTGGACACTGAGAGCAATGTTAATTTCAGAAGTATGGACAATGAAAGGGTTAAACACTGATAAAGATAAAAGCCACCCCAAACTGAACCTTTTATTGATAGGTACTTGTATCTGAGCTAGTTTCTAGCAATTCTTTAAGCATTACAAACAAATAAGTTATGGAAAAAAAAAAATGTGTGCCAAGTACATTAAAAGATGACAATATGGAAACAATACACAATCCACTATTTTGTGATAATGGGTAAAAAATTTAGACCCTGTCCTAATTACACTTTAAATGTTTAACTGGAAATTCATTGCTGTATGATACTGGCATTCAGATAACAAAAAATAAATAGAAATAGGAAATACAATTTGTGGCAGATAAGCTTCTACACCATAGATTATTTATCTCATCTACATCTTAGAGTAAACAATTATTTACCAATGAGAAAGTAATACTGTGCCGAGATATGTTCAGGCTCTCAGGCTCTCACAACACTTCAGTCCACTATTAATGTGGACACTGAAACTACATGAAAAATTAATTGTTTACAAATTACTACATAATGTATAATGTATGTGCATTATCAACAGAACTACACATATTGTATGCGTATTTAAACTTTGAACATTTCAAGGGAAGTCTCAACTAATAAAATTGCAGTTATGACTAAATATGCCACTAATGCTAGACATAAACTGATTTTACTTTGTAGCTAACGCTGTTGGTCCTTTCCTACTGTTTTGTGTTACCGTCACTTTGAGTGTTTGAGGTAAACCCACGACTCTTTTATGATAACCCAACCATGGAAGGTTAAGTGACCAATACTTGCTTGAATTTCATGCTGTACCACAGTGCCACATGACTGTCCTAGTTATAATGGTCTGTATTATTGGTATGTGGCTGACCAGCCATGCATGAGCTGAAGGTATGTTCGTTAGTCATTCTATTTTCCTGTGAATAATCATCTTTCTCTTTCTTTATGATCTGGTGTTCACCATCGCCACAGTGACGTGTTGCTGCATGTTGCTGTGCTTG